GCCGCTGCCGGCAATTACAGCGACAGCAGCTCCACCTTATTCACATCTATTTTTTTCTTCTTTTATCCTCAAATTAACTTCTCCATTAAAAAAAAGAAAAAACTTCCCGTGTTGAAATCACAAAAAAAAGCCGTCAAAGGAGGAGCTTCCCTCTTGTCATCTCCATGGTTCGTCAAAGTATTTGTATTCCAATATTTCAACATGGTATCGGAGTTATCGCTCTTGGTGACCTAAAAGAGTTCTTTGCTTCTGTCGCCGCCGCCGGTAATTCCGGCGACGACGGCTCCACCCTACTCACGTGTATTTTCTTTTCCTTCTTTTATCCTCAAATCAATTTCTCCATTCAAATGGAAAAAAAGAAAAGAAATAAAACCCTGTTGAAATCACACACAAAAAAGACCATCAAAAGAGGAACTTCTCTCTTGTCATCTCCATGGTTCTTCAAAAAAAAACAACTCCTCACAAACTCCCTCCACTCATCCTTGTATCTTCTCAAAATCATGAAAAAAATGATATTTGTTTCTCTACAATTCACTATCGAAGATTCTCAAGCCTAGTTCGTTTCTTCATCAGCAATTCTTAATTCCCCCTTTCCTCTCTCAAATCACTCATTCTAAACATCACTTTTTCTTCTCTTTCTCCTTTGTTAACCAATAAAATTCCAAAAAAAAAAACACAAAAGCCAAGCCAAGAGGGGAAGTAGTGAAAGAGGAAAGAATACTTCTACACTCTTCAAGAAAGAAATAGGGCATTGCCCGGATCCAAGAAAAAGACAAAGAATGTCAAAGATCTTCAATCAAACAAACACCACCAGTAGCCTTCTCTATTCTTCTTCGACGTCAGCAGCTACAAGCGCACGTCAACATTCTCTCTTCTTCTTCGACGTCAGCGGCTACCAGCGCGCGTCAATTTCTCTCTTCTTCAATGATGTCTGCAGCTATCAGTGCATGTTAGACTTCTCTCTTCTCCAAGGACGTCAGCAGCCACCGGCGCACGTCAGACTTCTCTTTTGTCCAAGTTTTCTGTTTCCAGCTAGTGTCCAAGCTTTCTCTTACTTCAGCCAGAGTTCAGTTTGAGGGGATGTTAGACAATATACTAATATTACTTCTCGTAGTATTGGCTATGATAGTGTTTGATTATTAGTCAGCTTAATATTCCTATTTCTAGTAGATGTTGTGTTTTAGTTAGTCTCCATTCTCTATTCCTAGTTGTGTTATGAATCTCTTCTATATATACTCTATCATTTAATTTATAATTTGAGAGAGCAATATTATTATTCCAATATTTCAACATGGCATTGGAGCCACCACTATTGGTGATCTAAAAGAGTTCTTTGGTTCCGCTGCCGCTGCCGGCAATTACAGCGACAGCAGCTCCACCTTATTCACATCTATTTTTTTCTTCTTTTATCCTCAAATTAACTTCTCCATTAAAAAAAAGAAAAAACTTCCCGTGTTGAAATCACAAAAAAAAAGCCGTCAAAGGAGGAGCTTCCCTCTTGTCATCTCCATGGTTCGTCAAAGTATTTGTATTCCAATATTTCAACATGGTATCGGAGTTATCGCTCTTGGTGACCTAAAAGAGTTCTTTGCTTCTGTCGCCGCCGCCGGTAATTCCGGCGACGACGGCTCCACCCTACTCACGTGTATTTTCTTTTCCTTCTTTTATCCTCAAATCAATTTCTCCATTCAAATGGAAAAAAAGAAAAGAAATAAAACCCTGTTGAAATCACACACAAAAAAGACCATCAAAAGAGGAACTTCTCTCTTGTCATCTCCATGGTTCTTCAAAAAAAAACAACTCCTCACAAACTCCCTCCACTCATCCTTGTATCTTCTCAAAATCATGAAAAAAATGATATTTGTTTCTCTACAATTCACTATCGAAGATTCTCAAGCCTAGTTCGTTTCTTCATCAGCAATTCTTAATTCCCCCTTTCCTCTCTCAAATCACTCATTCTAAACATCATTTTTTCTTCTCTTTCTCCTTTGTTAACCAATAAAATTCCAAAAAAAAAACACAAAAGCCAAGCCAAGAGGGGAAGTAGTGAAAGAGGAAAGAATACTTCTACACTCTTCAAGAAAGAAATAGGGCATTGCCCGGATCCAAGAAAAAGACAAAGAATGTCAAAGATCTTCAATCAAACAGACACCACCAGTAGCCTTCTCTATTCTTCTTCGACGTCAGCAGCTACAAGCGCACGTCAACATTCTCTCTTCTTCTTCGACGTCAGCGGATACCAGCGCGCGTCAATTTCTCTCTTCTTCAATGATGTCTGCAGCTATCACTGCATGTTAGACTTCTCTCTTCTCCAAGGACGTCAGCAGCCACCGGCGCACGTCAGACTTCTCTTTTGTCCAAGTTTTCTGTTTCCAGCTAGTGTCCAAGCTTTCTCTTACTTCAGCCAGAGTTCAGTTTGAGGGGATGTTAGACAATATACTAATATTACTTCTAGTAGTATTGGCTATGATAGTGTTTGATTATTAGTCAGCTTAATATTTCTATTTGTAATAGATGTTGTGTTTTAGTTAGTCTCCATTCTCTATTTCTAGTTTTGTTATGAATCTCTTCTATATATACTTTATCATGTAATTCATAATTTGAGAGACTAATATTATTATTTAAATATTTACCGAATATTATACTTCACCGAGCATCTGGTTGAGGCTAGTTCGAAAATATGCATCCGATTACAATTGAATCCAAGATGGTGGTGGGCTACTCATGTTTTTTGGAGTAATATAAAGCACGGAGCATCTCTTTTATCAAGTATAATGGGCCCTTCTATGCATGCCATAAAATTATTACTCCTTCTGTTTCTAAATATTTGCCACATTTATATATTCTCGAAGTTTAATTCATTTTATTTACATACTGGTATAGAAATAAATAATAAAATTTACATATCAAAAAACCACATAAAAACTTCTTCGAAATAAGAGGCCTCAAAAATATTTTATTTTATCAAATAACCAATGAAAACATAGAAATAAACAAAAATTCTTGTGACTGCTGAAAAAAACAAATGTTGTAAATATTTTGGAACGGAGTAAGTATTTCTCGTAGAAGAGGTGCCTAAAGTTAAGATTTCCCTAATGGGGGTATAATCTCATCAATATATCTATCAACTGATTCACCTATTATATTTCATGCATCACTCATCACTTGATCCATCCACCACCTGCGATTGGAACGTGTGAAATTAATTTTAAAAACCACATAATTGAATATAGACTATATGAAGCGCAAAATATTAAATATATCTTTCGATAATAAAAAATATTTATACTCCTTTCCTTCTTAAAAGTTTGACACAGTTTGACTTTTTTGGTCAAATTGAGGCAGCCTTTGACTACAAATTAAATTTAGTTTCAAATAATTAAATATTATAAAAATTGATATTTTAGAGTTATATTTTAAAATAAACCCAATTTTACGAAATGTATATTATAACTGAATATTTTTTTATAATTTTTGGTCAAAGGATGTCATAATTTAACAAAAAAGTAAAACTATGACAATCTTTTAGAAAGGGATGGATAATATAAATGATACTCACTTGAGATAGAGTCTAAAAGACAAAATTTTAAGTTCTCAAACAAGATATAAAGCCCAAACGGATGACTCGAAACAACTGACTTTGCATAAAAAACATAAACATGTAGAAAAAAATTATCCAAATCTTTCCTAAAATAACTCAAAGGACAATGCTCAAGATAAATAAATAAATAAATTAAAGAAACAGCCCAATAAATATGGAAGATGTCAAGATAATCTCCTATCTCAAGATTGTAAAAATTCATTTTCTAGAAAATATGAATCCCTCTTGGTTTAATAGAAGCAAAGAGAAAATATTATTATTAATTGAATCGAAAAAAAGGGAAGTAATTGAACTACTGAGGGAGGATACATTTTATTGTTGATGGAGATCGGGTCCGTGTGCTTAATTGGACGAGTGGGCTTGATGAGCCCATACCTGAAAAGCCCGCTAGGAAGCAGCGAGACACGCAAGGGAAACAAATGGGCCGAGTAATATTGTTACCCCTACTTTAAGGTCTTTTTTTAGATATTTGGTTTGTTCGAAAAGCAGAGTGATGCTCAAAAGCAATGTGTAATTAATTTGAGGGTTGCCAAGAGGAAAGTTAATAGATTAATGATCATCCAAGAACAGGATATCAACCTCAACAAAATCAGCCCAAAAGAAAGCCAAATTTTGCTTTGATTATGACAAAAATGACAAAGTACAATGTAGGGAGCGACGCCGGTAAGGAGGAGGAAGCCATACCCTTAGCGACGGAGGTATATGGAGCAATGCCGCCTCCCCCCCCCCCCCCAAAGCAAGGCACATATACATTTTGGCGAGGTCTACGCCACTAACCGGGATGTTATGAAATGAAGGACTACGAAATCTCATTCAATGACATAATGTACACCATTGTCATAGCTTTGAATGAACCTAAAACAATGGTATGAATCCAACAAAAGTAAGAACTGATCTAAATACTCTCTGTAATATAACACTTTAGGCTTGTAAGAACTGATCTAAATACTCTCTGTCTCTGTATATAGATCAAAAGGTAGGTACAAAAGTTCAGTGAAGCACCAACAAGAATTATTGATATGCTTCCATAAAACCAGGCAATTCATCTTTCTAACATCCCTAAACATGACAAGCATTTTATATACCTGCAAAATGCCGGGGGGGGGNTGTTGGTGAAAAGCAGAAGCTGACATGCTAAACAGAGTAAAATCACTTCCACTCAAAGCAGAAGCTAAATTGTTAAAAGCATCACACTGCCAAACATCCTTTAAAATGGATTCAAATCTTAGCCAGGAAAGGAATGACCCATGTCAAACATGAGGGTTTTCCAAGTAACAAAGATGGATCTTGCTCTATTTCCATTAGATTGATATTATAGTGATATATTTTGGTAATAATTGGTCTTATTGAATCATGAAAAATACATTCATATATAAAGAGATTACAGTAAAAGAGAGAATTCTAATCTAAGTAGGAAAAGAATTATACTAACAAATATAATAAGGAAGTAATGCAATAAGGAAAGTAATGAATAATACTCTCTAGTATTCTATTTCCTAATGCATCAGTTTTTGGAGCACAGGTACTGAAATGGAACTGGCGGAAGCAGTTTTGTGAGGATGCCCCTAGAATTGAAGTAGAGAGCCATATCTTCGTTACACGAACGAGCTTGAGATTATTTTGATGAGTTTTGACTGGTGAGAGTGTTGACGACTGGAGCGAGGGCGAGAAGTTTTTTTCTCATTTTGGTTCGTTCTATGCTTTTCTATCGTTTTTTCATGCTCTCGTTTTCTGATCATGCGCATGATTTTTTTGGGAAAAAGAGAGATAATGAATTTTTGGAGAGAAAGAGAGGGATAACGGACGTGGCTATTAGACATGCTCGTCGAAATCAGACAGTGACGCCATGTTGTCAGCCGGTCAACTCTTGTGGATAGAGACCAGCGATGTGCTCGATCGAAAAAAGAAGGGCTAGGTTTTTGAAAATCTTAACTCCGATACCGTGATACAGTTTGATAATAATTGGTCTTATTGAATAATAAAATGTACACCCTCATATATATAATTTACAATAGAAAATTCTAATCTAAGTTGGCGAAGAATTATAATAACAATACAATAAGTAATATAATAAGGAAGATAATGAATAATAATATTTTATTTCCTAATACATCTATTATTTCTAATATATAGTTTATTTAAATCCTCCCATTTACTCTTCGAGTTAGTATTGGGAACCCTGGGGTTGGGGTATAAGTGTATAACGTTTTTTTTTTCAAAACCACTAATACTTCCTCTCTAAATAAACTTTACACCCTCTATTTTTGATGTCTAAAAATCAGCTTTATATTCCTCTACTTTTTCTATTAGAAAACAAATACTCGTACTTGGTTGCAAATTATAGGTACCGCCAGATGTATCGTACATCGATCATTGCAAACATATAATTAAAAAATATTTTAGAATGAATGTTACGTTGTTTCAGAACGAATTCTATGTTATTTTAGAATGAACACACTACGTTGAACATACTTTAAATGAGTATTACATTGCTTTAGAATGAACACCACATTGATTTAAAATGAACATTTGTTAAATGTATTTAACTCTAGATACATCCGCATATACAAATAATACAATATAGGCTCTCATACTCGGTATATGGATTATCAACATACCGTTGATTCCCTCACTCGTAATTAAATTTCAACAAAATACTTTTGACTTTTCAATTTTTTTTTAATTTTCGTGTAGTCAAAGTGACGTGCTTATTTGGAGATAAAGAAATTAGAGAAAAATTAAATTCACAATTCACAAATTAAAAGAGTGGAAAAAAAAAAGAAAGAAAATTTGACAATACAGTCTGTCCAAGATAATGTTTTTTTTCCCCTTTCCACTCTGTAGTCGTCCTTCTTTACGCTGGACTCATTATTATTACAGTTATTACTAATGATATTTTTGGGCATTTCGAGCCGACAAGGCCTCACCCCACCCCCCGCAGAAAAAGTCTTTAGAGCCGTTGAGATTCTAAAATTATCTGTAAAATCTAAATATATTCACGCGTTGTAATTCATAGCCCCCCTTGAAATTCTTTCCTTTTTTTCATTCATTCATTCATTCTTTCTTCTTCTTCCCCGCTTCTTTCCTTAAACAGCATCTGATAATGTAAACAGAGGAAAAAAAGGGCAAAAAGCTGAATACTTTTTCTTGTTTATTGCCTCTTTTTGGAGCTCTGAACTTTTTCAAGGTCGTCATCAATGGCTTCCAGCGGTTGGATGCGGCCGTTTCTGCTCTGCATTTCCCTGTTCTTGGGCTTCTCCTCTGCCGCAGATCCGACTGTGTTTCTTGACTATGAGGTTTCTTACATGACTGCTTCTCCTCTTGGCGTGGAGCAACAGGTGTCTTTCATTTGAATGATTTCTTTCTTGAAGTTGTGTTTATATATGCTCTGTTTCGATTCTGGGTTTTCTTCAAGACTCGTGGTTTTGGGGTTTTGGGTGTAGATCTGTGGGGTTTTGGTGTTAAAGATTTGATCTTTCAGTGTTTCTTGAACTTTCTGTGTGTCATCTTTCTTTCCCCAGGTTATTGCTGTTAATGGGAAATTTCCTGGGCCTCCAATGAATGTGACTACTAACAACAATGTTATTGTCAATGTTCGGAATAAATTGGATGAAGATCTCCTGATGCATTGGTAGAATTTTTCACAGTCAAATTTAAAAGAAAAGTTTTTATTTATCAGAAAAATTAAAAAAAAAATCTTTTCTTGGTGGGATTTGGATGGACACAGGTCTGGGATTCAAATGAGGAAGAATTCTTGGCAAGATGGGGTTCTTGGAACCAACTGTCCAATTCCTGCAAAATGGAACTGGACATACCAATTTCAAGTGAAAGACCAGATTGGCAGTTTCTTTTACTTCCCTTCACTGAATTTTCAAAGGGCAGCAGGAGGTTTTGGTAGCATCATTGTTAACAACAGAGATGTAATCCCACTTCCTTTTGACACCCCTTATAAGGACATACCTATTCTGATTGGCGATTGGTTCACCAAAAATCACACGGTTAGTGACATTTTTGTTACTCACTTCTCTTCTGAGGTTTTAGGAATTCTTTGTTTATTCATGGTTTCTTGGCTCACTTTAGGCTCTGAGGAAAACACTTGATGCTGGAAAGAGCCTTGGAATTCCCGACGGCGTTCTTATTAATGGCAAAGGGCCTTACAGATACAATAGTTCTTTTGTCCCTGATGGTATTGACTATGAAATCATCACAGTCCAGCCCGGTATGTTTCTTGTAGCTTGAAAGAAAATGTAGTAGGAAATAAGACACTAGTGCTAACCATAAATTTATCTGTGAAATTGTGAAATCTCATTTTGTTAATTTGTAGTGTGGTGATGATAATTTGTAGTCCTGGATTTCCAAATGTGCAGGCAAAACTTACCGGCTTCGTGTGAGCAATGTTGGGATATCGACGAGTTTGAATTTTCGGATTCAAGGTCATAACTTGCTTCTAGCTGAGTCAGAGGGATCATACACAATCCAGCAGAACTATACTAGCTTAGACATCCATGTTGGACAAACATACTCATTCTTGCTCACCACTGACCAGAACGCGAGTTCTGATTACTATATTGTGGCGAGCGCGAGGTTTGTGAACGAAACCATTTGGAGAAGAGTCACCGGAGTTGCCATTCTGAAGTACTCTAATTCCAAGGGCGCGGCCCGCGGTCCTCTTCCGGACCCACCACAGGATGAGTATGATAAAACCTTCTCTATGAACCAGGCAAGATCCATAAGGTCTGTTTCTTCTTTATCCATAAGTGGAATTTTTTTTTGGGGCGGATATTTTTCAGGTTCCATAAATTGGTGTTATATATACATGTAGATGGAATGTGACTGCGAGTGGGGCTCGTCCCAACCCACAAGGTTCTTTTAGATATGGTTCTATAAATGTGACCGAAGTCTACGTCATAAAGAACAAGTCCCCGATGAAGATTGGAGGGAAACAACGAACCACCATCAATGGGATCTCATTTCAAAACCCAAAGACCCCAATAAGGCTCGCCGATTGGTTCAAGCTCAAGGGGGTGTATAAGCTCGACTTTCCCGCGGGCCCACCATCCACGGACTCGCCTCTTCGGGTCGAGACATCAGTCATAAACGGTAGTTACAAAGGGTTTATGGAAGTTATACTGCAGAACAATGACACTAAGGTCCACACGTATCACTTGAGTGGATACGCGTTTTTCGTTGTCGGGTATGATCCAATGACTCTTTTCGCTTTGATTCTCCGTTTTCACCCATTCTAGTAACAGTCAAAATCAAATGAATGAATATTTCCAGAAACCAAAGATGATAAAAGTCCAATGGGCCAATCATAACTTGTGTTTCCTGATACAAATCCTTTTTCGCCCATTCTTGTTGTGCTTAAGTTGTGTTTGGTTTGCATCCATTCATCGCGCAGGATGGACTACGGGGAGTGGACGAATAATAGCAGGGGAACATACAACAAGTGGGATGGGATCGCGCGCACGACAGCACATGTTTACCCGGGAGCCTGGACAGCAATCTTAATCTCCTTGGACAATGTTGGGATCTGGAACCTGAGAACCGAAAACCTGGATTCGTGGTATCTTGGTCAAGAAACATACATCAGAGTTGTTAATCCTGAGATGACAAACAAGACCGAGCTGTCTATCCCTGACAATGTCCTCTACTGTGGCCTCCTTCAAAACAAACAAAAGTATGTTCTTATATAGCTCATTTTCTCTTCAAAATTTCACATTTTTGTTATAAAATAAAACTTTTCTTGCGCCTGCTACAATCACAAACGTGAACTTTTGATTGAGCCGGTTTCATGGTACCAAAAATCTTGCTAACCCAGAGACTCTAAGCTCGAACTAAATTCCATTTATGAAATTTAATCTCTTAAAGGTGAATGTTCATGCTAGACTGTAAAAATCTTTATTTCCTGCGCTTGCAACCACAGACTCGAGCTGAATGTGTTTTGTTTCTTGTTTCATCACAGGCCTCAAGAAGTGTCGTCGTTTGCGACTACGGGAAGGGAACCGAAAGTGGCGGTTGTCGTGGTGGCGATGGTGTTTTCTGCATTGGTGTCTTTTTTGTTCCCATGATTCCTGCAGAGTTGGGGTTTGGTTGTTGAGGATTTGTAATTTTAATTATAAAAAAAAGAAGGAAATTATTGGTGTATTAACGTAGCAGTAATGTTTTTTTTATTCTCTGGTCAATTGTCACCCTTAACATGTGAGTAATTTTTTTTTTAAATTCTCCGGTTGTATTGATTTTCTTGCAGAGATTTCAACATTCTTTTATGAGAACAAGGTGTGAAGATTTTTTTTAAGGTGTGAAGAATTAGTTGAACAATGAGAGTCTGTTTGGTACACGGAATTGGAATTGAATTAGAAGTTGAGATTCTATAGAATTGATTTGGATGGAATTCATATTTGGCCAATCTCAAATTTACATATTTTTATGCTACCTAATAGTAAAATTGGAATTGTTATCTTTAATTCTAATTTGATAGTTTGAATTCTGTGTACCAAATGGAGTCTAAACAAATTTCAATTTTCTAAGAAGATTATGTTACACTCACTCGTACGACACCAAAGTTACATTGACAATATCTTGCACACCAAAGTTGACATTGACAATATCTTGCAGACAATAACTGATTTTTGCATTATTGTTTATGTACTCCCTCGGTCCTAATGTTGTTCTTGATTCTATGAAGTTTGACTGATTTTATTTTCAATTCAATTTATTTGATTGTAGGCGTAAAATTAAAAAATAAAATTTATATATTTAAAAACTACATCAAAAGTTCTACAAAACAAGTGGTGACAAGACTATATTATTTTATCAAATACCTAATGAAAATAAGTAAAATAAAGTGATTAAAGTTTGACCGTGTGAAAAGTAAGTGAGAAGAACATTTTAGGACGGAGGAAGTATATTTTAGAGTTAAAAGGTGCTCCTTCCGTCCCAAATTATAATGCATGTTCACTATTTACAGGGTCAAACTTCACTTACTTTCTTTCTCTATTTCCGTTAGCAATTTGATAAAATAAAATATTATTGTTACTACTAGTTTTGTAGATCTTTTGATGTAGTATTTTAATATGTAATTTTTATTTTTTAACTATATACCATTTTTCATATAAAATGATTTGAAAATAATTTCAGTCAAACATCGTAAACTGAAACAGGCGTTATAAAATGGGACGGAGGGGGTAGCATTTTTTTGTTCATATTTTAGACAATAATCATAGAATTTGCTCCTAGTCCACAAGTTCTCTTGCTTTTTTGTTCGTTCTAAAAAGTACATATTTTTTTTTCTTTTTGAAAAAGTATGTGGTTCAAAATATTTTATTCATCTAACTGAATTATAAGTATTCATTTTTCATTATTTGATATGGACTCTTTTTTAAACCTCTTTTTTATTATTCACCGGGAGTATTTGTTTGAGTCATGCTTTGGGGTATCCCAAAATTAATTCATATGAAGTATTTGTTTGACGATTATCACATTTGTCTTTAATTAATTTGAAATACTTGTTTAACGATTATCACATTTGTCTTTAGTAGGGTCAATTTTACTATTAAAGAAAGGGTTACAGCTTTGCTTGTTGCTCGTTTATCTGTCAAATTTTTTATAATTGAGTGATTAATTAAAAGATAGTAATGTACACAGAAAAAATAACTAGTTATAGTGCTTATATGACATGTATTTTCAAAGTTTTTTGCATTCTTCTTTTGTCACCCAAAACATAAAATTAAGGGATATTATATCAAAACACTAAAAAGTATGTGTGTTTTGTCCAGGTTATGAACTTCAAGCCTTGTAGTAACGGATACATAAGGGTGGTGTACATAAATACATAATTGATCAATTAGACATTAATTTTAATGCTTACCTTTAGTACTTTAAAGAAACGAATCCAACAAGAGACATGCTAAGTGTACCACAAATATACATCATTCGTTTTGTAATCATACATTTTTATTCGTTTTTTTATATAAAAAAAAGTGTGGTATGGGAGCACTTAGGGTACATTGTTGGTGTACCCCAAACATTTTTAATCCAACAATTATTCTACTGTTAATTTAAAAGAGAACGTTTAAAGTGACATCGGTAACTTATATACCAGTCATAGTTATCAAGGCATCGCCTTGGCGACACTTAGGTGTGTGGACGAGATTTTATGGGCACCAAACAGGTCGCCAAGCTTTCTTTGTGGAGAAACGGGAGAAGAAGATGGCAAGAAGTTTGTGGGAGGACAAAGGAGAAGAAGGTCTGAAGAAGACGAAAGGGAGGGAGACTTAGGGACTGTTTGTTTCAGCCTCTTAATGGTTCAGATGTCTGAATGGTTCAGCACTTAATGGTTCAGACTGTTTGTTTCAGCCTCTTAATGGTTCAGATGTCTGAATGTTTCAGACATTTGCCTCTGAATGGTTAAGTATTATACAGAGTCTGAATTGTTAAAACCTCTTATCTGAATTGATCAGACTTTTGCCTCTGAATAGTTAAGCAATATACTAGCTCTTAATGGTTCAAACTTCTTACTGGTTCAGCACTTAATGATTCAGACCTCTTACTGGTTCAGCACTTACCTATTCAGAAGTTGTCAAACAGCCCCTTATTATGGGACAAAGATCGACTTTACCTTTCTCACGATATATTGCCGCGAGATCACCAGCGGCTTTCTCTAAACCCTCTGACTCTCTCTAGTTATTTAGGTTAACTATTTTCGTAGAGTTTACTAAAAAAAGTAATGGGTTTACACTTATTAACTATAGGTCTCTATTGAAAGAATATTGAACCCAAAATTCAATTTCATTTTTAAATAAAATAAAAAGCTCACTCTACCCTCCTCCCCAACACCCTTTCCCCCCTTCCTACCCTGTCAGTATGTACTGTCATGGTAGGGAAAAGGGTTGAAGTGAGGGGTTTGGAGCGTGGTTAGGGCAAGCACGAACCATCATTTTATCAATGGGGCACTATAAGTACTCCAAATAAATTGATGTAAGCAAATGACGCCAATAATACTAGTATTATTTTAGACTTACTCTTTTAAAAATTATTCTGTACTATTCAAATTTATTTGAAATGTTTATACTAGTCACGAATTTGTTTATACTAGTCACAAATGCTATTCTGAAAGGAAAAAGACTAAAATAGGAATAAAACATTAAAAATATATCAAAATAGAAGTTACATGTTTTTATTCTTTGAATATGAATTAAAATGCATTTACACTACTAATCATGACCATATACATTACCAAAAAAATGTAGCAAAATGTCCATATACAATATCACATTAGCACAATAAAAACTCTTATTTGGGGAATAAAAAAATATGGAACTCTTGTTTTAGTACTTTCTATATGTTTTACTCTTATTTAAGATAATTTCTTATTCTGAAACGAAGTCAAAACACCTACTTAACTATTTCAAAAATAAAATAAAATAAAGTTGTGTAAGTTAATGAAGAACATGTCTATCATTTACTTTCAGGCTTCGTTTGGTATATGGAATTCAAACTATGGAATTGGAATTGAGGATCTCAATTCCAATTCCGGTGTTTGATAGCACAAAAATTATGTGGATTTGGAATTGATAGTGCAAAAAATGAATTAGAATTGACAAAATTCAATTCTATGGAATTGAATTCAATGGAATTTCAATTCCAATTCAATTCCAATTCCGTTAATTCTGCATACCAAATGGACCCTCAAGACCTTTATAATGATGGTGTTAACATTGGGCATGAAAGCAAGGTGACAAAGATATCACTTCACATTATGCAGAATTTAAACCGAGTTTGGACCAAAACACTGCATTTGCGCCGTAGTATTAATTGGTGAATAAATAACAAAATCTAATTTGACTAAGGGGCTGTTTGGCAACTTCTGAATAGGTAAGTGCTGAACCAGTAAGAGGTCTGAACCATTAAGAGCTAGTATATTGCTTAACTATTCAGAGGCAAATGTCTGATCAATTCAGATAAGAGGTCTTAACCATTCAAACTCTATATAATACTTAACCATTCAGAGGCAAATGTCTGAACCATTAAGAGGCTGAAACAATCAGCCCCTAAGTATATATATATATATATATATATATATATATATATATATATATATATATATATATATATATATATATATATATATATATATGGGGCGGTTCCTGTAAGAATGCAGCTTGTGGAGAGAAATGAGAATAAAATCTAGCCGTTAGATCTGATGCATTGTGCGGCTCAGATTGCATCCTGCGCCCAGATTTTGAGATATTGCATTTTCAAAGAATTTTGGTGCATTTCGACGTGATGCATTTCGAAACCATTTTGGTGCATCTAATTTTGATGCAATCCTGACCCTTAGATCTCACAATCTAAAGAACCAGATTCATTCTCATTTCTTTCCTAAGATCGCATTCTCACCAGAACCTATATATATATATATATATATATATATATATATATATATATATATATATATATATATATATATATATATATATATATATATATATATATATATATATATATATATATATATATATATATATATATATATATATATAAACATTAAAATTATACCAAATTATTGGTATTGAAAAATACTTTAAACGTATTATTTTTAATACTTTTTTGCTAATGTATTTTAAGAGATTTTGTTTCTCTTAAATAGGAATGGGGAGAGTATACTTTGTTTCTTTCGAACTTGGCCATCAATGTGGACACCGAATCCATTAGAGGGTTATATACTCATATGGTGCTCCATTTGACTTTGAAGTCATTTCTCCCCTATTTATGACCATGTTCCAGTGTATTTGTCCAGTTTGACGTTGTTCAGTTTGTATTGCAAATTAGTATGATGAAATAAGACTTTAAAAATTCTAAACGAGATAAATCTAATAAAATCATTTTTACAAATATACATTACGGTTTTTATTTAATTGAGACTCAAAGTTTATCCAGCTTGACTCGAAAAAAGTCAAATTGGACATATACTCTAGGGCAAAGAGAGTAATAATTGTTATCATGTTCTTTAAATACTCTCTTAATTAGTTCTTTAACACTCTGTTTGGTTGAAGATATTTGGAAGGAAAAGAAAAGAAAATGATTTTCCATCAGTTTCAAGGAATTTGGAAGAAAAAGAAAAGGAAATGGTTTTTCCTCCGTTTCCTCACCAAAATGGGAGAAATTTGGTTTTCCATCCTCTTAGTACATTTTGCCTTCTCATTTTATTTTCCTTCCACTTTTCTTTTCTTTTACTCTCTAACCAAACAAGAAAAATGTTTCCCCTCTCATTTTTCTTTTTCTTTCCCTCTCAAATTGACAAATTCCTTGAATCAAACATAGTGTAAATGCTCTCAACTCTCTCTAGACACATTAATAGAAAAAGAAACCATACTTGCAGATATAAATAGTACTAAAATATACATTACCTTTACAGAATAATTCTATTGATTATTTGGAGATCAGAGCAGTTACTTGTTATCACAAAAGGCAGTGGCTTCATCACAAAACCCATCACGGTCCAGCAGTTTTTGCGGGGGAGAACTTAGCAAAGGGGAGGACGGGCTACCATAAGCGTTTCTTCGGGTATTGCCACAGCCGAGACTGTTTCTGGTGCTAACCCCAGTCACCGGATTCGTCCCACTCGCATACTTGCACAGAGCCTACACCAACATATCATCCATAGTAATTTATTAATAGTCGACTATCAGAATTTTACCATTTTCTAAAAATATGTTACATGTCCAAGTTATAAGATACTCCGTACAAGCATAAGGAAACATGAGGAGTAGCCCAATGCCTAATAGGGTATGCCGACATTCGTGTATGCTCATTTTTGAGATTCACTTGGATCAAATCATTAATTTTAGGGCTAGTTTGGTGAGCGAAGCAAGGTTGATATGACATGGGTTCTGAAATCTGAAAGAAATGATGGGAGTTCTAAACTCTAAAATGAAAATGTTTGGAGAGAAATCTGATATGGTCATCGGGGACAAGGGGGTGCCCAATTGCGGGCGGGGGGTGGGAGAGCGGCGAATGGGTTCTAACTTCTAATAATGTACACACAGACAAACCTGTTTCTGCGGGAGGTCTAAAATGGCATCACTAAAGTCAGCCCCTTGGATTATGGCACCAGCAAGGTCACTCCTTGTAAGAACTGATCTAACAAGTACAGCATTTGTGAGATTGGCTTCGTTTAAAACCTGCTCAGAAAATTGTTCAGAACCCATTGTTCAGAGCCCGGGCGAGTGCTTATACAATTTCTAATCTATTGCCTTACCATACGATCCATCAATGTGTCGCTCAAATCTGCACCTATAAAAAAGATTTATCATTTACACCAAATGGGTGATACTACTTGGGAAAAGCACAGTAATTTTCTTCTAAATGATCTCTCTTTACCATTTCTTCCTTATCGCTTTTTGAGCTCATTTTTTATTGTGTACATACCGGTGAAATTAGCTTTGTAAGCAACTGCTTTCTCAAGATATGCCCCGTTGAATGTGGAACTGCTAAAATCTGATTCTCTCATGTCAGCAGCTGTGAAATTTGCTCTTCTGTATCAGCAAATTTAATTTGTTTATCATTACTGATGGAGTAGAAAAAGAGTTGGGATTTTATTGGGTGTCTTAGAGTTGTTGCATTGATATGGTAGAAGAGCTTTGCATTCTTAACCATTAGCTCTAAGACCAAAAAGTACATATAAAAAGTACGAGAAACATGCAAGTGTTTTTATTATAAAAGAAGTAAAATGCATTTTCTAGAAACTCTTTCGGTATGCAGTAAATGTATAGCCTATTTCCATTTTAGCAACTCCAAAAAACGTTTTGACACAATTATACTATGAGATGGAGAGTTACCTGAAATTTTCATTCACATGAACAGCTTTTCTGGATAATAACATAGGAAAAAAAGTTACAAAGGTTAATAAATCAGAGAAAAGATATTGACTTACTGGCCATTCGGGAGCCATTGTTTTTGGATTATATGCCAGATATTTAACGAGACACTAAGTTCTTGATTGCACATGCTGACTTGGTTAGCAATGAAAAGAACGTTGGATGTGTTTTTGTTTGCGTGAAACTACTGAATTAAGAGTATTAGTTTTTATATTTGAACAACCACGGTTTCAGTAGATTCAGCAAAATCCACCCCTTAGCAAAGCAAATGGGACCTTAACTATGTGACCTCACTTGAAAAGTGTAATATGGGAATGAGTCCTAGAAAGGGGCACACTACTTGAGGTCAGCAGAACCAAACTGAGCGGCTGATCCTATCCCGAATTCCCCACGTTGAGCAGCTTCAAACTTGTTGAGATCAGCCATGGCAGACATCTCATTGGGGCCAGATGTGATCACTGCAGCTGCCAATGCAGTTGAAACTATTGCTCTCCAAATCTTTGGCTCTGCATTAGTATTTGAGGAATTCAATCAAGAGTTTCCCTTTTCAGCTCATTTTTTCAAACAAATCCTACCTCTGATTGACTCTCTGTTTGGAACCCAGAAAACACTGGAGAAAGATAATAGGGAAGAATAAGGATGTGAAATTTGCAAAAAAAAATCTTGAAACTCAATGGGTCAATTTTACATATTTGCCCAAAGTGATTTTTGTAATGTCAACACAAAATTATCCCTCTAAATTCCATAAAAGTAAAAAAAAGAAAGAGATTTAGGGACAGAGAAAGTATATGGGAATAAAGTGAAACTCAATTCTGAGGACCCAAAATAATGAATATGTGCTTAGATAAGGTCAAGTTTTTGGTTGAACCAATTCCTTGACATGATATAAGAGCATATTTTTACCTAGAACTTTAGAAGTCATGAGTTCAAATCTCAACAACCATCAAAGTGTCTTTAATGCAACCGCGTTTCAAGTCCAAATGCATTCACATGAGAGGCGTGAAAGAGCACAAGAACTTCTATGACCCTCGAAATTGAACTATTTGCTTAAGCTTTTGGTTGGTTGGCCCTTGACATAACATAACTACATTTTCTTTCTACTCCGGAATCCGAATAAATCTAACCCAAACAGCTTTCACTTTTTGAAACTCAACCTATAAAACTAAACAACATAATTTGGACAAAAGGGATGTGAGTCTAGTACAAAAATGTAGTCCATTCATCATTCTCCTTTTCTCCAATATAAATGTCCAATATATACCACCTATGTTAAGTGTTGAAACAATAGACATTAACAACAACGACAATGACGACAGATCTAGTAAAAATCCCAAGGGTCTGGGTACAGTGTACCCAAACCTTACCCCTACTCGAAAGTGGACATGTTGTTTCCAAGAGATCCCGACTCAAACACAGAATGGACATGTTGTTTCCAAGAGATCCCGACTCAAACACAGAAGCACAAACTAAACACAGAAGCATATATACCATAGACATTAACTATGAAATTCAAAAAATATAATCGAGAGAAAAGCTGAACTTTTACCTCTCCCAAGAGAAAGAGAGCCATTCTGAGTCCGGTGGCCTAGCGGGGAAGGAGATTGAAAGGCAACGACGGGCTTGAGGGAAGAAGAGATGCCGATGGATTTTATTGGCGGTGGTTTTAGAGAGACTGAATTGAGTGCCATTTATGCGGAATTGCAGCTTAGAAGAAGAAGAAGAAGAAGAAGAAGAAGAGAATTATAAATTTCGCCTATTTCATTGTTTTCGATCCTTTTCTGCTTCTCATGTGGAAATGCTCTGTTTGGTTGGATGGAAGAGTGGCTCGCGATAACATTTGGATTATCTATCTTTTTTGACTAAGGGGCTGTTTGGTAACTTCTGAATGGGTAAGTGCTGAACCAGTAAGAGGTCTGAACCATTAAGTGCTGAACCAGTAAGAGGTCTGAACCATTAAGAGCTAGTATATTGTTTAACTATCCAGAGGCAAATGTCTGATCAATTCAGATAAGAGCTCTTAACCATTCAGACTCTGTATAATACTTAATCATTCAGAGGCAAATCTCTTAACCATTCAGACATCTGAACCATTAAGAGGCTGAAACAAACAGTCTGAACCATTAAGTGCTGAATCATTCAGACATCTGAACCATTAAGAGGCTGAAACAAAAAGCCCCTAAATCTAAAATGACATTAGCGTTACTAGTATCATTTGCGTATACCAATTCGTTTAAAGTATTTACGGGCTACGATGTCTTATTTATAAAAATGACATTTTTATCCCTCTAATCCAAAAAATTGCTGGCAGGTATCCCCAATTTTATGATAAGAACTACCGGGTACCCTTAATTTTAAAAATACACTGCCAGGTAGGGGTGGACACGGTACCGTACCGGTACCGTGACCGGCAACGATACCGCCGGTACCGGCCACCGTCACGGCCGGCTGGGGCGTTACACTGGTACCGGTACCGCCCTCCCCGGTACCGGTTTTGGTGCCCAATTTTCGGTACTGGCACCGCTGGTTCCGATACCGGTTTTATTTTTTTATTTTTATTTTTATTTTTTGCTTTGCTTTCCCAACGTTCACCTGCAAAAAAAAGAAAAAAGTCAGTGGGGGGAACCTCAACGGCTATTTAGTCGTTTGAGGTGGGGGAGGGGGAGGGGAGGGGGGTAGGGGGAAAACTACTATAAATTCTACCATTTTTTTTAAAAAAATCACACTCAATCCATCGTTCAATCTCTCAATCTCTCAATCTCTCAATCTTATTATTTTTTTCTCAATTTTTATACAATTTATATTCATATAATAATATAAATATATATTAATATATTACATAATAACCTATAAATACATTTATTATTCATATTATCAATTATCATATATTTTTAGTTTATTACTAATATTATAATTTCGAAATTTTCGAAATTTAATATATAATTAATTTTTTAAATAATTTAAATATATAATTAATTTTTTAAATATATTATATTTTTAAATAATTTATAATTTTTGAAATTTTCGAAATTTTAATATATAAAATCTCGAAAAAATTTTAAATTTTCAAAATTTAATATATTATTTTTTAAATATCAAAATATATATACTAAAATGTTGAGAGAGTCCGGTAGAAGGTGCATGGATATGGGCGCCGTGAACCGAAGTTCGAGGAAAGGCAAAGCTATAGCCACCTTCGACGGTTCGACCTCACGCGGTTCTCGAGGAAGACACTCCATCTCTTCCTTTCCTACTATCCCCGATCAATTCATGGGCGACGTTTTGCGGATCAAGAATTCGACGAGTACATTTCAGGTAGAGGTGACGCGAATCTCAAAACTCTTGAAAGTTTATTCGAGAAGATTGATGAAGCAGGAATGGACGGGGACGAGGAGCCTACACCGCACAGCAACGACATCGACCAGGAGGCAGGTGAGCCCGAGACCTCTCAAGGTCCGGACAAAGGTAAAACAAAATTAAAATCAGATTTATTTGTTTATCATTTTGAAAAAGATACAAAAGATGTCATAGTTTATGGAACTTGTAAATATTATGCCACCGTCATTAAAATGGGAGTTTCCGGCGGTTATGGTGGTCCGGAAAAATACCTAAGGTTGAGGCATCCCGTGCAGTATGCCAAATACACGGCGAAAAAGAAGGGATGAAAAGAAGTGCAAACCCAAATTTCTCGGTTTGCTAACAGGGGTAATGGCGGCCTTTTTGCTTATAGCGACGAGCAAAATAAGCAAAAAATGGCCGAAATGATTTGTGAAGAAAATTTGGCATACATGTTTTCTGAAAAACTTGGATTTATTTATTATTGTCAACAGGCATTAAACCCTCAAGCAAGAGGTTTTTCAAGAAAAACAATTAAACGAGAAATTATTCGACAGTATAATCTTGAAAAAACAAATTTGGCAAATTTTTTTCTAAATTTTAATTCTCGTGTTACTATTTGTTCTGATATTTGGGGTGAAACATATCATAATTTGTCTTATATGGGTGTTACTTGTCATTGGATAGATAGTGATTGGATTATGCATAAATATGTTCTTGCATTTCGTGATTTCAATAATTCTCATACTGCTGAAAATATTTTTCTATTGCTTGAGCGTATTCTGCGAGAATACAACTTAGTTGATAAAGTGTTTGCATTTGGTTTTGATAATGCTACTAATAATACTGCTGCATGCTATTCCTAGACTTAAAGAAATTTGCCCCCTACTACGACTATGGATAGATTTCTGCATCAACGGTGTGCCTGTCATGTTTTTAATTTGTGTGTTCAACAGGGATTAGAAGCTATGGGGGGTTTTGATGAATATTTAAAAAGGAATTAGAAGAATTTGTGGTAGTTGTCTTAATTCAAATTCCTGGAAGACATTCTATAAGTCTAAGGGTAGAAGAACAATAATATTTGTCAAAGATATCAACATTAGATAGAATAGTACATACAAGTTGATAGCACAGATTCTAAGCTACAAAGAGGAACTTGCTGAATTTTTTAGGGATGAACTTCTTTTAATGATTTCACCTATTAAATTTGTTATTGTTGAAAAATTGAATGCCATATTAGAAGTTTTTAATAATGCAACTCTTACTTTTTGCATGTTTACCAATCAATTACAAAAACATTTTTTAAAGAGTGTGTTACAATCACAACATATTTTCGTGAAAGTTTGGTTGATGAAGATTTGTACCCTTATGTCTCTCCTATGAAAGATAAATGGTGCGCTTATTATTTGTACATTCTTGATATTTATAAAATAGGTATTATTTGTGATCCACGATTTAAGATTGAAAATTCTAAAATTCTAATTGACTATTACTACAGTTGTTTTTTATATGAAAATAGTTATTGCTACACCCATTTAATAGAATGGGGAAAAGAAAGAGATAATGCTATAACTCTTTTTGAGGTTTTGTTTAAGGAATATCAAGGGTTATACGGTAATGTATCGGAAGAAACAGCACCTCCTCCGCCCCCAAATCAAAAAAAGGTTTTAAAGGAATAGTCGGTGGGCTTCTTGCAAAGAAAGGGAAGCGTGCTCAGCCTTCGACGAGTTCAAGTGGTACAACAGTAAGCTCGCACAACGAACTTGCTATGTACCAAGGGGTGCCATGCGATTACGACGACGACGACGTGGAGTTTGACATACTCAGATGGTGGAAGTGGAACGAACACATGTTCACATGTCTCGGTATCAACCGTAGCAGTGGAACGAGAATTCAGTGCTTGCGGCATTATTCTAACCGACTACCGAAGTTGTCTTAACGCTGAATCTCTTGAAACACTTGTTTGCAACCAAAATTGGCTCTTGGCATTACGTCGAGCTCAAGAATCAGGGTACAAATTCAATTCGGAGCATTACATGAATGCAACCACAGATGGAATTCCGAGTTCTGAGGAATAAGTTATAAACTTTTTTTATGTTAATGTAGATATATAATAATGTAAATATGTAATTAGTTTTTTTAGGTGAGCGATATATAAGCTCCTTCGAGGGTTTCTTTACGGTTCTTTACCTCGTCGCTTTTTTTGAACCGTCAGGATATTAAATGTAGTTGCTCTTCAGTTCGTGTATTACTCATTTTACAATATTTAAATAACAACTATATTTTTAGATTTTTTATTTCATTCTTTCATTTAATAATTGCAAATTTATAATTTTACACTTTAAAATTTTTTAAAAAAGCAAAAATATAAATATTGGGGGGTGGCCGAAACCGGCCGATCCGGTACCGGAACCGCCGGTCCGGGAACCGGAACCGGTACCGCCCGGTCCGGTCACGGTACCGGTACCAAGGGGTGGCGGTACCGGAACCGTACCGTGTCCACCCCTACTGCCAGGTACCTCAAATTATTCGAAAATGTACCAGCACGAGCCATCCGTCAATTCCTCCGTTAATTTTAACTTCATCATCATCATTTGATTTCCCTCCTTCCATCCAGACCCCAGACCTCCCTTTTTTCTTTTTTATAATTATTATTATTAATAAAATTAATTATTGTTTTACTAATTTTTTGAGAAAAATATTTTTTTACTACTCTAATTATAAAAAAATACTAATGCCCTACCAAAAAAATTATATACTCCCAATAAGCTTTCCCAATCTCTACTTGGGTAAAAAGAGACTAAAGTATTTTAAATCTTTAATAAAAAATTAGTTTTAATGATCAAATGTACTCTCTACGTCCCAAATTTGATTACAAATTACAATTTACGAGGTAAGATACCATATCTTTTGGAATCATTTTATTCACAAATTATTACGTACATCAATAAAAAATAAAAATTATATATTAAAAAACTACATCAAAAGTTCTACAAGATAAGAGGTGACAAGAATATTTTATTTTATCAAATAATCAATTAAAATACACAAGTAAACAAAAGTTATTGAGAGGTAAGAGAAAAAAGATTGAAATCAAAATTGGAAAGGAGGGAGTATAATTTATAAATTTAAAATTGTTTACTCCGGTATTTAAAAAATATGAGATTTTACACATTATGCGAAATTTATTTGCACTAACAATGTGTAGAATCTCATATTTTTTAAATATGATTTTATCTTTTTAATAGTATACAAAACATTTTGGGACATACATAGTACGTAATAATTCACAACAATAAGATAAAACTTAACGCTGTGTATTTTAATGATGGAAAGAGTGTTAAATTTTATTGACAGAAATTTAACTTTTGTGGTGTTTAATGGTAGAAATAGTGTTAAATTTCATCTTATTATTGTAAATTATGACGTACTGCATATATTATATACCTAATTAAATACCAGAGTAAACAATTTTAAATTTATAAGTTATACATAAATTGATCATCAAAATTAATTTTTTTAAAAAAAAATTAAAATACTTCAGTCCTTTTTTAGCCAAGTGGAGATTGGGAAAGGTTATGGGGGTATATAATTTTTTTGGTGGGCACTAGTATTATTTAGAATTAGATGTAGTAAAACAATAATTAATTTTAACAACAACAACAACAACAATAATAATAGTAATAGTAATAGTAATAATAATATTAATAATAATAACAACAACAATAATATAAGAAGAAAAAAGGGGGAGAGATGGGGGGTCTGGATCGTAGGAAAAGAAGAAGAAGAAGAAGATGATGATGTATATGATGATGATGAAATTAACGGAGCAATTGACGGAGGTCTCCCGTTGGTAAGTTTTCTAATAATTTGAGGTATCTTACAGTGTATTTTTAAAATTGGGAGTACCTAGCAGTTATTATCACAAAACTAGATGTACCCAGCAGCAATTTTTTACCTCTAATCCTCCCCCTAAACCCCCTACCTCTGCCTGCCTCCTCCCAAGCAGGGTAGAGTGACAGTATATTGCAGGGTAGGATGGGGGCTGAGGATATGAATCATTATTTTTACAAATGGGGGATCATAGGTGTTTGTAGAAGATACGAGATAATGTGAAGGTACTTTCATTTTGTTATTTTAATTAGTTTGACAGCTGGCACTTTCTGTTTCAAGCCAGCTGTATCCGTTATTCTGTTCCTCTTTTTCCTCCTTCTTTTTCGTTTTTCTCCCTTGTATATATATGTGGTTACTTTCTCTTTTCCCTCTGTAAGATGATTTACGCAATAATACGCAAGCTTTCTTCGTTATCCTACTTGCGTTTTACATGGTATCGGAGCTAAGCCATTGATGTTGGGACCACGCCCGCAGTAATCTGCGCCTCGTGTGAGGGGGGCGTGTTGACTTGTTCATCCCACATCGGCTATGCAGCCTTATATTGTGCTGCTATTTAATAGCTTGGGTACCTCAACCTCCTGAGTTAACTTTTGGGGTTGAATTGGGCCCAAGTCTATTGTTTCAACATGGTATCGGAGCCGGAATTGAAGATCCGAAAGGGATCTTGATACTTTACGATCGTTCATCACTTCCGATCAGATCTTCCGCTGCAGCGTATCATCATCTTCGACTAATCCTCTGACGAATCAATGGAGGATTCTGCTGGAGATCGTCGAACAGTAACAGGGAATCAACCTCTTGATCCGTATGGTCTCACGGGTCAAGATAATCCAGGATTGGCATTAACCACGGCAAAATTCACTGGAAGCAACTACTTCGCGTGGAAGAAGACGATTACGATGGCTTTAGGGGCTAAATCAAAGCTAGGATTCATTGATGGAACCTGTGCCAAGCCGGCAATCACAGATGTGAATTATCAACGTTGGATCAGAACCGATTATATGGTAACATGCTGGATTCTCAATTCTATGACACCTGAGCTTTCTGATTCTTTCCTTTATGTGAATTCTGCTGAGGAATTATGGTCTGAGATTGGAGAACGATATGGACATACCAATGCGCCTCTCATATATCAGACACAAAAGGAGTTGAATGAAGTTCATCAAGGTAACATGTCTGTTTCGGCTTATTTCACAAAACTCAAGAAGTATTGGGAAACCTTGCAGGAGCTGAGTAAATTTCCCACTTGTGAATGTGGAAAATTAGAGGAATGTGACTGTGATTTCCTTGAAAAGTGGACTGCCATAGAAAACAGGAACAAATTGATGCAGTTCCTGATGAAGCTTAATGATGACTATGAGGGAGTTCGTAGTAATATGCTAGCAACAGAACCACTACCTACTTTGAGTAGAGCCTTCTATGTTATTCAACAAATTGAGACTCAAAGGAATGTAACTCGTAGTATGCCAGAGTCATCAGCCTTCTTGGTGAACAATGAGTCTTCTAGGACATTTCAATACAAAAGAGATGACAAAAGACAAAGACCAGGTGAAAGGAAATACTGCAGACATTGCAAAAGTGAAGGTCATTCCTATGAACAATGTTTTGAAAGAATTGGATATCCAGATTGGTACAAAGGCAAGAAAAACAAGAAGTTTGGAGTGAAAATGGCAGCCCACACAACCTCTTTTGAAAGAACAAAAGATTCTGGGTTGGAATCTCCTTTTGACAACATTGGTAGCAGTCAGCATAGCAAATTACAGGTTGATCCAGAGCTTGTTACAGCCATATATCAAGAAGTTGCAAAGATATTCAAGGGAAAGGCTACACTGGAAGAACACCATGATTTCAGTTCACCCACTGCCAATTTCTCTGGCACAAACTTTTCAGGTATAGCTTCTGATCCTGCCTTTGTTCTTACTAGTTTGAGTCATAATGTGGATATTAAAGGTCAATGGATAGTTGACACAGGTGCTTCTGATCATATGTCCCCTTTCCTAGAATTGTTTCGCAACACTAAACCTCTACACAATCCCATTTCCATTACTCTTCCTGATGGAACTAATAGGGTAGTAGATACCATAGGGCAAATCACCATCACTCCTTCCCTTATCCTGCAAGATGTGTTGTTTGTTCCGAATTTCAAATTCAATCTGTTGTCTGTTGGGAAAATTCTATCTAATAATGCCTGGACAGCTCATTTCTCACGAAATTCATTCATGTTCCAGGACCCTACCACTAAAAGGATCTTGGCCTCGGGAGAAGGATGTCATGGTCTTTACACACTTCAAGTCTCCACTCCCTGTTTTAAAGCTGTTCCAGCTGCTCAATCCACAACAACTAGTTGTCCTAGTTCATTACATTCTTCTCTTAATTCAGTTGTCAATGTTTCAAATAAAGAATCTTTGTATAAACTCCATGTGAGATTATACAAGTTGAGTCATCTTGTTGATTGTAAACATGTACATCAAAATGTTCTGGCATGTGATGCTTGTTCTATGGCAAAAATACATAAATTGCCTTTTCCTAAGCACAGCCTCAGTAATTCTGTTTTTCCTTTCCAATTACTTTACATAGACTTGTGGGGCCCTTACAAAACTCCTGCCCTGAATGGATCTAGATATTTCCTAACTCTGGTTGATTACAAAACTAGAGCTACTTGGACTTATCTGTTACACAATAAAGACCAAGTTTGCACCATCATTCAATCCTTTCTTCTTTATGTCCAGAATCACCACAGAACCCAACCTCAATTTATCAGAAGTGACAATGGAACAGAAATAATCAGATCTGAATGTCACAATCTGTTTTCAAAACTTGGGATCATACATCAGAAAACCATGACTTACACTCCACAACAGAATGGGGTTGTGGAAAGAAAACATAGGCATTTGTTGGAAACAGCTAGAGCCTTAAAAATTCATGCCAATCTTCCAGTTTCTTTTTGGGGAGATTGTATCCTTGCAGCCACATATCTCATAAACAAAATGCCTATGGCCAAGTTACTTTGGAAAACCCCTTATGAAAGTCTCTTTGGAACCCCACCTCATTATGACCATCTTAGGACCATTGGTTGCTTGTGTTATGCCAAAGTAGCTGGGAAAACACATGACAAATTTGCACCCAAAGGTAGAAGATGTGTTCTTATTGGTTATCCTTCTGCTCAAAAAGGATACAAGCTTTTTGATCTTGATACCAAAAGTTCCTTCCTTAGTAGAGATGTTCTCTTTCATGAGGATATTTTTCCTTGCAAGACCTTATCTCCTTCATCCCAACAAACACCTGACTTCTTTTATCCCTCACCCATTTCAGTCACAGATGATCCCATTTCTTCCATTCCTTCCCATGATCCCACTTCCAATCATCCATCATCAGAATCCCTCATTACTGATCAAGTTCATACTACTGATTCTTCCTCATCTGAACCAGTTACTTCAGATACAATATCTACATATCCTGTCTCTTCCTTACCAACTCAAACCAATTCTTCTAGACCACAAAGGACTGTGCATATTCCAGCTAAATTTTCAGACTTTATATGCCCCACTCTCAAGTCCAGAACACAAACTCATTGTTCCACAGCACATCCTTTGTTTTCTGTTCATACTTCTCATTCTCTTCCACTTGGCTTTACCAGTTTCATCGCAAATGTGTTAACTATCCAAACACCCACCACTTATGCTCAGGCTAGCAAGGATCCAGGATGGGTCAAAGCTATGTCTCAAGAGCTGGCTGCCTTAGAAACTAATTGTACTTGGACTTTGTGCTCACTCCCTAAGGGTCACAAGGCAATTGGCTCAAAATGGGTTTACAAAGTCAAATATAATCCTGATGGTTCCACTGAAAGATTAAAAGCGAGGCTTGTTATAAAAGGATATAACCAAAAACTTGGGAAAGATTATAAACACACTTTCTCTCCTGATGGTTCCACTGAAAGATTAAAAGCGAGGCTTGTTATAAAAGGATATAACCAAAAACTTGGGAAAGATTATAAACACACTTTCTCTCCTGTTGCAAAATTACCTACTGTAGGTGTTCCAAACGAACTGGTATATAAATAATTGGTATCATTTTAGACGCTCCTTTTTAATTTTTAACTCTCAAAATGTTAACAATATATTTGGTTCAAAAGTTCAAAAGGAAAGGAAAAAGAAAAAATTATTTAATGAAAAATCTTAGAGTCACGAATAAAAAAAATCAAAAAATGTACAATATTACTATTGTGTATTTCACCAACAAAAAGTAGAAAACTAAATGCACTAATAACAAATTTGTATTTTTGTGATCCTTGTATTTGTGACTAACGATTGTTTTCTTTACTTTTCCTTGCCAAAATGAAAGGAAAATTTTTTCCCTTTTCTTGATTTTATTTTTTTCTTTTACTTTTTATTCTATTCATTTCTAGCTAAACAAGAAAAATTATTTTCCATATCTTTTTTCTTGAGTATAGTAACAAGATTTACAAGAAAGTCACCCAACTATTCATTTTTATCAAAAGTGTCACTGTTTTTTTCAATCATGTCATTGAACTCTCCAATATGTTCAAAAATATCACTCAATAATTCTACTTGTCAAAAATGACATTGCTTTTTTCTTTAAATAATATCATTGAACCTTCTTAAATGGTAAAAAAGTGACATTTTTGACAAAATAGAATTGTTGAGTGACATTTTAAAATATTTTAGAGATTTCAATGACATCACTGAAAGAAAAAAAGGGAGTGACATTTTTGAAAACACAAAATAACTGAGTGACATTTTTGTCATAGCACTCTCTTTTTCTGTTATGTTTTTTTAAAAAAATATTTCTTGAACCAAATATAGTGTTAGTTTATTTTCTCTTCTCATTTTCTTTTTTCTTCAACTCTTATTGTTTAACGAAACAATAAAACTTGTTTTTCATACCATTTTCCTTGAGCAAAATATAGTTACATTATTTTTGGTTCATGTAATTCGGATGAAAAGAAAAAGGAAAAGGAAAAGGAAAAAAAAGATTGCTTTATTTTTTCTCACCAAAATGGGAGAAAAATTATTTTCTTTTATAGTAGTTTATTCTCTTCTCATTTTCTTTACCTTTCACTCTTCTTTTTTTTCCTCTCTAACTAAACAAGAAAAATTATTTTTCAAACAGAACAACATTTTTTTCTTTTACCTTTCAAATTTCTTGAACCAAACGTAATGTAACTATATTGGACTCAAGAAATGTATCTTGAGTGGAGGATCCACTTCAGTGTTCCATTGGGTTGTTACAATTTACAAATGAATAATGAGCGAAACCATTACACACGTAGGGGTATTTCAATGAAACAAGACAAACTATAAACTTGAAAAAAGAAGACATAATGGTAAGGATCGTGCTAGAAACTCACCACGGATGCCTCTACGGATGACAATTACAGATGATTTATACATACACAGTGTGTTTAGAGACGATTATCGTCTATGTATGAATAAAGCATATGTGATTGTCATTCGCAGGGCACTCGTGGTGGGTTCCTAGCATTTTTGTAACGGTAAACATAAGAAGTGGGTTCAAGCTATGGACCTTCAAGATACAAGAGGGAGAGAATCAATTCTCATCATCCGCGATTTATACTATCTCAGTATTTTCCCCTCCACGAATGCCATTTGAGTTGCAATTGGAATAGGAGGGGAGGGGCTCCTAAAAGCCCTCGTGTCAGCCTCGGATCAAACACATCAAACCCCACACGTCTTAAAGAATCCAGCATAAACTGGGCAGGCACAGCTGGAAGAAGCACGGGACGAGCTTCGGCGGGCACAGTGTCTCTCAATTCACGCGCTTTCTGCAGATGTCTGTTGGCAACAGAAGCCATGTCAAAGACAACCTCAGGAATAATTCCCTCTTGCCCACCGTGTTTCTCTGCCATGTCAGCAGGTATGTATAGAGAAAGCCGGTTTCTCCTTGCATGGTAAGGTAAAGACCTTAGGAGCAACAAAAGGCCGTTTGCCTTCCCAATATGTGACGCTGCGTGGTCTGCTGCTGTTGACCTAATGCCACCTGTTTGAAGAGTGGAGTAGAGAATGGTTGAAGCAGTGTCCTCTGCATATCTCTCCAGCTCTTCCAAGGTTGTGGGAGGTGGTGGAGAGGAGTCATCAGACTGCTCTCTTCTAGCTTCTTTAATGCGAGCTTCAACAGATCGCTTCAGCCAGCTCTTACTGATTTTGGTTTCAGACGACAAGACAACAGATGCAAGTGCCTGAGCTACTGGATGTTTGACTTGCTTGTTGGCGTAGAGCTTTTCCAGAGCTTCTTGCCACCACAAGAGGCGCATGAGACCAATGTTAGGGTCAGAAGAGACATCCATGGCTCGGGATGTCTCTACGTTAAATGCACGGAGTGCAAATGCAGCTTTTCTCATGGTTGGAGGGAGTTCAAGAAGGCAGAGGTAGTGGTGATAGTCATAGTTCCGGACTTGCTGCACACAATAGGAGAGAGCAGCCCGTAGGCTGCCCGAACTGGAGGAGGCACCGGTCGTCATCAAATCCTCGGTTCCATAATAAGCAAGAAATTACTCCCTCCGTCCCCCAAAGAGTCCTGTTTGAGTAAGGTTAAAAATAAAAAAATAAAAATAAAGCATCCTTAGTCAATTTATTCAAGGTGGAAGCTTTTACAAATTATGAATGGTCACTCAAAAATTATGAATGGCCACTACAAACTTAATTCATAGCTTGCTTTGACTAAAATAGCATTTCAGAAGAATGAGAGTTCATAATGGGGGATGAAGAGAAGGCACTGTAATTCATCAATGGAATGGGGAAGAGGCAGAAAGAAAAGATCTAAAGATTCAAACTTTTCAATCATGTGTGCATCCTCTTGGACATAGGGGAAAGAAATTCAAAGATCCTACTGAAGGGGTTTTCTATCTTTCAAAAAAACTGCATCAAGTATCAAACACTCCCTCCGTCCCATAAGTTTTGGGACATGGATAGGTGGCACACAAACTAAGAAAAATGGAAGTGTGTGCTGTGTGGTCTTCATTTAGGCCACACAAATGTTAGAAAATCCAGAATGTGACAAAAGTAGGGGCGACCAAAAATAGTAAAACATGACAAAATAGGGGGACGGCGGGAGTAGAAAATAGAGAGAACACTTTATAAACTGTCACAAATCACAATGTAAATGAGATTCTCCACAGGATGGAAGCCATTAGAGAATCATATAGCATTTATTGATGGAGGAAAGAGATACATCAAATCTTAACTTCCCAACACAAACTTACTTTGACTCTCAATGTGGTTCCCTAATTGTTGTTAACATATAGAGATTGATTGTTGTGGAATTTGATTGGTTTGTATTGAGATTGAATGACAATTATCGCCTTGATTGGCGATAGCATATTGTGTGAGATCTTTTGGCAGAAGGATGATGTTAGTCGTTTATATAGGTCTAAATTCGCGTATGGCATGTTTGGGAACTTGAATTTGGATTTCAAAACCGGATTTGGCTCAAATCTTTTGGAATCTTAAAATTTTGGATTTGAGGCAAATTTCTCTAATTCATAACAAATCTCAACTACAAATCCATATGCCTCCCCTTGACATGAGAAGTTCAAGAATTCAAATTTTAGAATTGAAATGCGAGGATTGTATTGAAATGCTATTTCCCAAACACTGCCTTATGCACTTTGTAAATGAAATGAAAAACTAGAAAACTGAGTTGTGAATGGTACCAAAATTGCAGTTTTTCCCCATCCCTAACACACATTGTAATAAGATGAGAGTAAGAGGCTCTCTGTCAGATATCATACATTAAATAAGGAGAAGGCGAAATAGAAAATGAGAAGAAAACAAATCAGCACAAGAAATAAAAGATCGTTCTTTTCGCAGAGCTGACAAATTCGGTTATATCCTCTGAAGCGTTTAATTTTTTTAAAAAAAATTAGGGATTCATTGGCAGGGAGTGCATAGTTGCTTACTTGTAGTGGCTGGTTGGCAGATGCTGTGGCGGAAGATCGGCGGCAGCAGACGGCGGCGTGAAATTAGAGTCGTTGGCTGGCTCTGAATCCTGTGAAGTGTGAACTGAAATAACGGCGGCGACTCCGCCACTGCTAGGATAGGGCGCTAACTGCCTGTGACCTGAAATGGAGACTCATGAGTAGTGGTGGGCAAAAAAGGTACCATAGCCACCCCAATGGTATCGAATTGTTTATAATATTTTTAAACGGAATTTATTTTTTTTATCGCAAATCAATATCAAACAAGATGAAACTGCCATGTAAATATTTAGAAATCATTCTATGTAACACTCCAAGGCACCCAATATTACATATATAGTACTTCTTATTATTTTTCATACATTTGGGTATTTATGACATGGATCTCTTCTAATCATTTACTATATTTATTGAGATCCATAATTTTAGGAGGTTATTCTCATTCCTTGTACATAGTACTTAGAACTGTCGTGACACTCCTCGCTGCTTAAACACACTTAATAAACGAAATTGGAAGTGTATACCAGCTTTTTTGGCAGTGTGGAATGGTCATGTTATGCCTACACTTTCTGGCAATGTGTTATGCCCATGTTCTCAAAGTGTATACCAACTTAAATACATTTTCTGGCAGTATGGAATGATCATGCTTTGACAGTGTAGATACATGTTATATTGTGTATGACGGCAGTGTCTTACGCCCATGTTCTGGAAATGTATACCAACTTAAATACATTTTTTGGCAGTGTGGAATGCAATGACAAATTCGGAATTGCATCCAAACAAGTTCCAATATCACATAGCAGTGCTTTATTCGGTATTTTCAGCATATATTAGTGCTATGACGGTACTTCTCCTATAAATATTTTAAAACCGATTATCACAGGCCGAACCGTTCAAATCTATGTAGGGAGTATCTCAAATATTTATTTGTCTACTTCATCTTACCGTATATGGAGTACTTTGTATGTTACGTAATGTTATTCATTTTTAAAATTCTTTCATTAAATATCCTCACTATGTCCTTAAGTATTTATCTAGTTTTGACTTTATTAAATCAAATATTTTCAACCTTTGACTTATAATTAAATAAAATATATATTGTATATTAATTAGATAAAATAATATTATAAAAATAATTTATATAATAAATCTAATAAAATTATTCTTGTATCAATATTCAATATCATTTTTATTTAATTTAGAGTCAGAATTTACAAATTTTGATTAAGAAAAAGTCAAAAGTGGACAAATACTTCGGAACGGGGGAGTAAGTCTAATATTGTGTGAATTGAAAAAAAATCTATTTTTAAAATTTGAACTCAACATCTTTTATTATTTATGTTTATGATCCTTTTAAATTCGAAATTAATACTTCTATTTAACAAAGTTGTGCTTTTATATACAAAATTATGCTTTTATTTTAATATTTTTGAGTGATGCATGTTCATTTTTTTTGCACGGTTTGAGCATGCGTACGGTATTGTACTGTTATGTTTCAAAATGGAATGCAACCGAATAGTTTTAGGGTTCATATCGTTGAGATACCGAACCGTTTAAATAAGAACGGTCCATGATAGATTCTGGTACTATCACAGATCATCACAGTCCACGACCACCTCTACTCATGAGTTATGTGACTACAAGGAAAGTGGTTTAATTAGCCGCAAGTAACAAATTTTCAATTCGATTTTGGCTGAAATTATTTTCAATTCAATTTATTTGATTATATGTGTAAAATAAAAAAAAATAAAAAATATATATTTTAAAACTATGTCAAATGTTCTACAAAATAAGAGATGACATGACTGTATTACTTTATCAAATAACTAACGAAAATAGGTAAAGAAAGTTATTAAAGTCTGACCATATGAATAATGACTGAGAAAATCTTTTTAGGATGGAGGAAGTACTATTTTATGGGAAATTCTATGGTGGATCTAAGGTCTATCACGGACTTACATATGATCAAAATAAGTATTTTCTTATTACTTAAATAAAAATCTATTTTTGTTTAAGAAAAATAAAAAAGGAATTTTTATGTGAGAAGGTTTTCAAAAATGGTATGCACGCAAGGTGCACTATAGAAGCACTGAGACAAATTATTACATGCACCTACGGGCTATTGTAGACCTTCATATATGCTAAATAAGCATTTTCAAGTGTTAAAATAAGTATTTTTAAAATGAAAAAATATGTGAGAAGGTCCATGAGGACCTTAATTATGTCTACCATAGAATCACTCGGCTTGAAAAGTCTTATTTTTTTAGAGTGCTTCTATAGTGCATCATGGATTCATACCATTTTTGTGCACTTTCTCATATAAAAATATATTTTTTTATTTTAAATTTTTTATTAAAATAAATGTTCATCTAGGTAATTAGGACTTGCTTATTTGCCTCATATGTAGGTCCATGGTGAATCTTAGGTCTACCATAGAATTTGCTTATTTTTAATATACATTCTAAAAATTAAAATTGAAATTAAAAAGATTTAATTAATAATAACATAAAGAAAAAATACATTAGTTTTAAATAATATATATAAATACAAGTTACATAAAGTTTAAATAAAAGACATACAAAAATTGCATAAAATTAATGCTTATTTGAACGACTGGAAATATGTTCAATGAAATCTGTTGTTATTGTATTGTGAACTTCTCTGCTTCGAATTTCTTAGTGTTTTCTTTGTTTTTTTCTTCGTTGATTTCTTCGTAGCTAGGTGTACCCTCTTCCGGGTTGTGATGACAAATTTCAAACTCGTTGTCCGCTATAATTATATTATGAAGAATAATACATGTGTACATAATGTTTCATGTTTTCATTTGAGAATAACACTTAAACGCATGATCTATAATGTGTCACTTACCCTTCAACACCCTGGAGGCTCATTCGATATCCTTTCTTACCGCCTCATGAGCTTTGTACATTTGTCGTTTAAGAGTGATTGGTGTTGAGAACGACTTGACAATTATAGAATTATACAGATATATTTCATTGGCAAGATAATATCCATATTTGTAAAGCGTCCATAAAAGCTTAAGTTGGGTGTAGTCTCGTTAACCCAATCGTCAAATACGGGCAATTGACTAAGAACATTAATCTTATTGTTCGAGCCGACAACACCAAAAAACATGCCAAAATCATAAGTCATTTGAGCATAATAGTAAGTTTGAGATGATCACCCCATTCGTACTGACCATGCCGTAAGACAGTTTTTCATTTTCAATGCGTGTAATCGATACTTCCAAGCATGCCAATAAAGTCATGTTTAGCGCCATGTCTCATTGTAACTGCGCTTTTCATGGGCTTACACACATACCTTTTATGGTATAGTCGAATAATAGCTTTAGAGAATTTATAGACACATGACATGATGTTTCGAGTCGACATCTTCAAGTACTCGTCGAGCATATCACTAGCAGTCCGTACGTCATTTGACGCAACACGACAATGCACTTTTGGACGTTGCTAAAATTGCACCGGTCTCTCGCTGTAACGACCCAACCCGCATGACCCAAACCCGTGAGACAGCGGACCGGTGTGCCACTGAATTGGTATCCGAATTTGGGACATTTTCAAAACAATTTTAAACAAACGTTCTATCAATACATATAAAAATCCATCGGAGTAATTTAAAATAATGCGGAAGCCTTTTTAAAGTCAAACAACTTGGGATCTTGCCCGAAAACGTAGTAAGCATTAAAGTTAATTAAATAAAGCATAATCAATAGATTAAAGAGACAACCACGCCATCGTACATCTCCTCCTCAATGCCCTCTGGGATCGGCTCTAGGTTCATCTGTCTGATCACCTACGGACAGCAAAAAGGAAAACAACGCTATCCGCTCAGCATTGACGCTGAGTGGTACTCCATTGTAGCACAAGAATAAACATAATAATTCAACAATTAAGATCGTGCATATGTTTATCCTTTTAATAAAAATCAATTCAACTTTACATTCGGTTCTTTAGACGGTTGACCAACAGCCAACTTATTTTCTTTCTTTTCAAAACGATTT